TCCCTTCTGCCACTTGATATTTCTCACCCCACCTGACCTACTGTAATTTATGTACATGAGTCCCCAGCTTCCTTGTACCCAGCCCTATCCTTGAGAATAATTTACAATGATTTTTGCATTGAAATGAAGCTTAATCCCGCTTTGGCTAAGGACTACTCATACAGTTGCTCGAGATCACCTTCATGTTACATTCCACTCTGCTCACCTATTCTGTATGGGCAAGCCATTGATACAGGAAAGAAAATCTATGATGATTCCCAACAGGGAAGCTATATCTTGGGTTGAGATCAAAATGAGACATCAGCCCTCAATTCTCTGATCTATACTTCTACGGAGTAAATCTCTCTGCTGGGAGGGGACGATTATTAACTCTGAAGTGGAAATAATACTTTGATGTATCCTGCTGTTGATAAACATGTTTCTGATATTTTGCATCTCTGGCAAAGAAATTGCATTCACAGAACTCAGATTGGATATAAGTTTTTAATTCTTTGACCTGATTGAGGTATAGGATTGAGGTGTTATCACCGATGCAGACTTTTGGATAAACTATTCCTCAGAAACAAGGCATAATATTTACAATGCATTTCAGCAATTGTTATAAACCTAAAGCAATTACTTCTAAGAATGTATCAAATGAACTGTAGCTATGTAGAATAAAAAAAAGGCATTAAAATAGATAGTAAGAAGAAACAATGTTACAAATTGTTTTGTCACTGTAGTAAGTAACATTCTCATCTGTAAATATGTTAGGGAACAGTTTACCATTGCTTCCTTTATAAATTAACATATTCTCATAATTGCAGGCAAATACAGACATGAATCAATTCACCTTTCACATTTTGAATACTTTCCCAGAGAGAAAGTAATCAGGGTCCTTGGTAGCCTGCTTTTCATTCAGACTCTATACAATCAAGTGAAAAGTCTGCCACTAGACGCCTACTTTCTCATGTCTGAAATGACTGGTTGCCTTTCATCGCGGTCTCCCTAAGACAACCCTCATTACATAGCACTTGTTTCATCCATTGCTGCTTTTTGTTTCTCTTGTAGTTTAATTGTGAGATTTTGCTCAGCTTGAGTCAATAGCAACTAAAATTATTTTCTGCATAATGTCCCAGGGAGCATGGAATTATTCAGATCTGAACACCATCTTTGTTAGTGAAACTCTTTTGGTATTTTTACTTCCAATAACTCTGTGACCTTGCAGATGGGTTTGAAAGAGCACATGTCTCAACTACAACACATAGATTGGTAAGAATCAGTAGATTAGGCCTTTAAACCTGACAAATTATTGATTAAAACATTTAATTAATCTTCAATGACAAATAATAAATGTAAAACTGTACTAAGATGAATTAAAATGACTTCACCTTGAATGACTTGTTATCAGAATGAAATCCGAAAACCTAACTGCTATCAAAGAATTATGACTAACAAACAGCTTTTAATAGCATTCTTCTGTTTGAACACTGATTTCTGAGGTATCATCAGGGAACTCTCTTCCAAGAGATACTCTACCAGTAGTTTCAAATGAACTGGATTCCTATATACATTTAGAGTGAACGAGCAAGAAGCAATGATTGTTTCATGACGGTATCTATTTTCAGGATCAATAACACTACTCAGTCAGGTCTTTTGATCTTGAAGCCTGCTGTTTAAAGGGGACCAGCGCTGCAATCTATAATACTGTCATCATATAGTAAGTCTTACCCCATCTCTCCCTATTTATTTGTTGCACTAAATTATATTTGAATACTTCCTGCTTACTGAGAGAATGACTTGCCTCTCTTAAGGGAGACAGTCAAGCAAGTTGTAGCATCTTCATTGAGATTGGCTCTTAAATATAGATTAAGTAGTGAACAAACTCTACTAACCTCTTGATCTATACCATTCAATGTTATATTGTAAGGTGTATTTGTCTATTAAAATACTGGGGCAATGCTTATCACATACTTTGAAAACCCTTTTCTGGATTTAAGCTCTGAGTAATTTGTGATAGCTCTTTGGATGTATATAGAGGCAATTATGATCTTCCATCCTGGCAGTTGGAACTGCAATCATAGGATTATCAAGGCTATAGACATTATCATGTTGAAGAATTACTTCTAAAGTGACAATGCCTGCTTGTCTGTCTCTCTATCCTTCTGAGAAAGTGTGACAGTACCTACATATTTCAGTGTGAATAGCAGAGCTGATTTTTTTTCAGGGAGAGGAGTTTCACATTAGAGGTAAAGTTCAGGAAAAAATGTGGAAGAGATCCAGATTGCTTGATCTCCAAATTTTTAAGTTTTTTCAAGATTTCATTTCCATCCTGGGGTTTGGCAGGGGTGGAATTTGCCCTCCACCAGTAATAAGGCCAAAGCTGATGGAGGCCAACCAAATGAGATGTAATTTACTTAGGAGTGCACGAGTATGAAGACTCCCAGAGAATATGCTGAGGTGACCTTCTAGAAGACTCCAGTCATCCAGACAATTGCTCAAGTCCATTGCTGGGCCAGAGTTCTGTATTTTTCCAGCTTCATGAGAATCTTAGAACTTAATTGAGACAAATCTAGCTGGAGCTCTTCATCTGTAGTCAGAAAATCTCAGTCTCTACCCCATGACATAGGGCTGAAGGCTTTAATTGCTGCCTCTGGGCATAGCTAGGATGGCTCTTGCCTTTAGACTGGACACCTCTCTGCTTCTGGGCATGGTGTGGGACCAGTACTTCTATCGAGTGACCAGAGTGGGACAGCAGAAAATCTGCCTAATGAATCTTCTCCCTTGTGAGTGATTACATTTCCGACATGACTGGCAGAGACTGTTCTTCTCTGTGTGAAAAAAAGACAAGTTCCTATTCCTTTCTGCTTGAATCTGGTGACAAAATAGGATCTAAATATACAGATGTTCGAAAAGGAAAGAGGAATTAACTTGAAATGATTAAAAGACACAAACATCTTGCAGTGATCTGTAGTTATTGGATATACTGTATTGGAAGAAAAATGAACAGGGATTAAAATAGTGGCTCCATATGCCCAAGCTCAATATCATCTAATATTGGATCAAAATTTTGATGCTAAAAATTACAAAAGTCAATACTAGAAACATAAAGCAGAGCTAATTTTTCTTTAATTATGGTGGATCTTGATGCTGTCTGATAGCATAAGATGGGAGAGTTGTGAGTCAGCAGCCCATTTTCCATCTCTACTGACTGTCTTCCACTATGACATAGTCAAGATCAACCTCACTATTTGTTTTTAAACTTATATGAGAGGAAAATGTGTTGTAATGGAGAGATATGCTTGAGTAAATTTGGTCCTACAATACTTCATTTGTAACAATGGGAAATAGATTGCAGTGAAAAAAATGCTAGAGCAGGGAATGTAGAATTACACCAATTAATCTAATTCTGATCCATTTCTAGTAAACTGGGTGGTAAATCAACGGTTTCACACTTAGGAAAACAGTGTCGCTAAGGGTCATGACTTTACAAGACATTCTAGATGTGGATGTTTTTTCTGTTGTCCCATTTAACAACATTTCAAGGAACTCCCAATTTTAGTTATGTCCCTAATGGATTCCTTCTGTTTTTGATAAATTCCATCTTTAACCCTAAAGTAGCAGCTGAACATAAGATTCTTATTATCCTTACAGAACAGGATAAGGAGGAAAACTTAGTTTCCCATTTCAGGCATTATAGTAGGCATGGCCACTTAGTACAAGGTAGCTATGCCATAACCTCTGCAAATAAGCCTTTTCAGTGAAGTAATTTTAAACTTAATGAGTTAACAGTATTGTGTTGTGTTACATTACCTTCACATTTTTCAATTTTTTAAAAACTTTTCCCAAGAGTGTCTGTGGAATTAGACACTAAACATTTTAAATCCATCTGGTTTCCCTTGAATGGTAATTTTAAGGCACTAATTGAGACACATGTCAATAAAAGAATTTAAAGAAAATAATATTTGTTTTTACTTCCATAGTTAGCTAGCTTATAAAATTCCAGGCAGTTGTATTAAGTACAAAGTACAAATGCTGCGAAAATTTCCTCAATATCATTTTCTGCAGAACACTGGAAACTTTATGAATGGTATTTTCATTAACCACTGAACAACTGTAACTACGGATGAATGTTTAAATCCACATAGACAAATTGACTAGAAAGCAATGCTTTACAACTGGAAAGCGGCTGAATATTTACAAACTACTCATCTACTTGCATCATTGTTATTAAAGAGCATATTATACAAAGGCTCAGCTTTAATATTTTCAATATTCACCATTCATTTTGGTAGAAGATTGAAATGCTAAATCATAGCAAATAAATACAATAGTGCAAAAAGTGATTTTGCCATAAAACTGAGAAAATGGTAATCTTTTAGTCATAATGACACCTTCACATAAAAGTTCCTTCATGAAACCTTACCTAAAAGCATATATGGGATAAGGTTATTCTTTCTCAAACCAATAAAATCAGGAAACTGTTGCGAGAAGCAGTGTCACGCAGTTTGATGTCCCCAGCAGGGTACCTGGGGTCAGATGTGCTGCCGTAAATTCAGTGTGGGGCTTTGACATTGTGCTAAGTGTGGCCTAGGTCTGGGGGGTTTCTCTTTGATGCAAGTGAAGTTTAATAACTAGAAAAGCATTTGCTTTTATTTGTCGGTACTGTCTGCGACAGTAATATCAGCTCATTTAGGCTGGTTCAACATAAAAATGCACTAGTGAAGCAATCTGTTACAAATTAGCACAGCTCTCATTCCACTTTATTGGCAGGTAATTGAAAGGAGTTGGGAAAGTCTAATTTATCAGATTATGTGTGTTTATCTTCCTTGTGGGTATAACAGACTTTGGCAACTTTTTCAATATGCCCAAGGGGATCAAACTTCTTTAAGCCAAGTTAACAAAAAAAACAAATAAAGTAAATAGAGTGTAACACAGTGGTTCAATATATATGTAAAAATTAAAATAAATTAATCTTGAAATGAATAGACTTTTTATGAATAACTTAATCGTTTTCTTACCTTTCTTTGGAGATCTTTTTGCTCTCACGTTTCCAAGTATTTTTAAAATCAGTACAGAATTCAAACCACAGCATGAATATGTAGTTTGGAGTAATATCTTTCCCCCCAGGTTTTGGCTTCACTCCAAAGAACCTTATTGTATCTTCAAAGCTAAGAGAAAAAGAGGGAAAAAAACTGTCAACACGTAAACCTGCTAGTGGCTGTAGTTTCCCTGAGGGCTTGTTCCAAAGTCAGTAGCCAATACTCTGTAATTACTGTGACTTCCCTGAGCTTCAACATTCATGGCAGCAACAGTTGTCAAGTATAATGTAACCTTCATACACCTACAGTCTTTCCAGAAGGAGATATCTGGAATGGCCATATAACCATGCCCACAAACCTGGTTTTGAACTAACAGCTATCAAAACCCTGATTTAAATACATATCACCACTCCTCTACACTACAAAAAAAAAACCTCAGTATAGCAAGAAATCAAGACCACATTAGTCTCCAAAAGTGAGGGACTCCAGGCACATAACATAAACAAGTACAGACACATAAAATCTGAACTGCACACTTTCCCTTTCATTCATGCACTTCAAATAGTTGGTATCTGTTTAAACTCATGCTGTTTTTGACAACTAAGGTGCCATTCAGTTGAAATGCAGTGAAATACAATATTGTGTTACTGATCTCAATATCTACATAAATGTCAGACACAAATTCAATATAATGTCAAGAAATAATACGTCGAATTGTTTTCTCGTTGGAATTTCATTGACAACTATACTTTAAATGTAATTCACATACTCCACAGAAAGACCATTTAATTAATATGGTCAGAATAGCAACTTTGTCACTTATTTAAGTTATGCAAATTTGTCTCTTATTTTTCTCCTTTTTGGTTCATCATTCCTGTTTCCTGACACAAGTTCCATCTTCAAACAGTTTTCTCCTTCACTTTTCAACATGATAAATATTCACTGAAGGTACACATTGGTTCCATTAATATATGATGCTTTTTGACACAACTGCACTTTGAAGGTTATTTTTAATTTTATATTGGACTTTGTCGGCTCTGTCTTTCATATCTATTTAAATTCTAAAGCAAATATTTAGCATTGTACCAGAGCAACTATAAAATTCTGCAGAACATGCATCTTTCTTCAATCAGCAAAGTTACTTCAAGGTAGGATAAACTTTTAGCAGCTTAATTTTCACTAGCTCTGATGAGTCTTGGTCCCTCGAGCTCACATTAGTCTGCAACTGAATAATGATCATTTTACTGTCCCTCAAGAGAATAACACATTAAACATTTACACATAGATCTACATCATTTTAATGGAGACCATCAGCATTGGTTTATATAGCAGTAAAAATGCAAAAAAAAATTATGAAAAAGAACTTTTAATTTGCAGTAAAAAGTGTTTCAAAGGGTTCCCTATAGTAAAAATGTCTATATAAGCATCAGGGTGCATTAATTAGATCATTAATTAGTCACTTGTGTAATCAACTTAAAATTCTTTGAATAACAATTGTAACCATGTTGTTTTAATAGCTTAAATAAAATTACATGAAAGGACACCACTTTATCACCTATCACTTTCAACGTTGAAAAGTGCATATGATATTAATGATGAATAGACTGATAATTTAAACCTTCAATAAAGGAAACAGATGCTTGAAACTTTTCAACCAAAATATCTGTATTTGATTCTCCTAAAACTTCTTTCTGTCAGATGTAACCACAGGTCAAGAGTATAACATTGCATGTGAAATTATAAAGGGGTAAAACAATTGGTTTCTGATGCTGATTTTTTTCAGTGACATCAAACTACTTAATTGATGAAAAATCTCACATTTTAGCACAGACAGGTTGTATTTACCCCTAAAAGTATCATCATGGTGTGTCACACATTGAAACTTCTGTTAATATGCAAATCATTAAGTGTAAATGAATCAAAAGTCCACAAATAAGAAAAAAAGGCAAGGAAGCAGTGAAAATGAAGGGTACATAAGAAGGGCCGATAGAATAACTGCTTGCAAGTTTAGAAATTTATGGACAGTGTACCATAGTGTTTGAATCAACAAAAGGTATATTTTAAAACCTAACATTTTAAACAGTTTACCACCATAAAATTTTCAGGAATGATAAGATCTGCCTTGGTGGGATTTTTCTTCATGAAATCATAATTAAGCACTCATATACATATTTCAAATGTTACTCTCTAGTGTAGATGGTGCTACAATAAGTACAACAAGTGTCACAAATACGTAAGTAAAAGTCAGTCTCATGTAAATGTGAATGTCATGATGTTGGGTCTAAAACCTGTAATTTTTCAGGTACCTCAGACAAAGCTTGACAGAGATTTCAAAATCTAAGTGTAATCCTTCAGATGATAATATTTTAATTTCATTATAAATGTATAAATACAAATGAAAGTTAGAACTAATAAATAATTCCTTGAAGCATTTATACATTGAAGTTTTACTTTTAAGTATTCAAAATATTAAAGTGATATACTTTAATCTATTGCAACAGTCTTGCTTGGGTTTCACTTGGGCCCAAAACTAGCATGAGTATCAATCCCCCAAAAACATAAACCTTCCAACAATTCAACTTTATGTAAATATTTCAATAAATGCAGAAAAGGACAGCAATAATATTATTAAGTGTTATCATCAGCCATGACAATGCAATGTTTCATTTCATACTCCAGGAAAAGAAATTGCAGAATTAGATGAGTTTATTACAAGAATCTCACCAGTCACTGATCACAATACAGGAATCACAGTGACTGGTAAAAATTCTGTTATGGTCCTAACTTTTGGAAGACACAGGAAATGTATCCATCATCTTTCCCCAAAATTTTTGAACTTATTTCCATAAAATGAATGACACTAATTGTCTACTCCTTCCTTTTAAAAGTCTCATGCTGTATAAAATTTCTTTATTGTTTTGCCAACTTTTTCCCAGCTGCGGAAACATCAGACAGAATATTAATTGGCGAGCTTTAGTGGGCAGCTTTGAGTTCAGACTTTGTGGGGTTAAATCCTCCCAAAAATGCCAGCATGACAGATCTTGCAACTTGATCTTGCTGACTTATTTTATCAAATGCACTAGTAGCAAAGGGGAATATGGAAATGTTGAGTTTCTAATTTAAAAGTGGCAATTACATCTATCTTAACACAGTAATCTGGCTCCAGTAGCCAATTTGAGAGTTTCCCAGCTGTGAAACTCATCATATTGACACCAAACTAGCTGGAAATATGAATTAATGAGGGTGGAAGGATACTTCAAGGAGTTTTGAGGGGTTAAGTAATGACTAAAAATGTGGCAGATGAAATACAATGTGATGATATGTAAGGTTATCTACTTTGGTAGGAATAACATAAATTCAGAGTATTTTTTTTAAATGTTGAGAGGCCTGGGGAATATGTTGAACTTCAAAGGGACTTGTTCATGGATTACTGAAAATTAACTCACAGATACAACAAGAAGTAAGAAGATTAAAAAAAATTAGAAACAAAAGCACTGTGAATACTGTAAATCAGGAACATAAACAGAAGTTGCTGGAAAAGCTCAGCAGGTCTGGCAGCATCTGTGAAGAAAAAATCAGAGTTAACTTTTCAGATCTGGTGACCTTTCCTATGTTGTCTACAGTACAATTTGAGTATAGGAGTAAAAATGTCTACATAGAGCCTTGGCGACAGCACACCTTGAGTACAGTGTGCAGTTTTGGTCTCCTCACCTACTGATAGGTATGCCTACCTTAGAAGAGTACAAAAAACGCTTTCTGAACTAAGTGAGTGAGATGGAGAGATTTCCTATGAGGAAATATTAAATAGCCTGAACCCATATCCTCATGGATTGTTTAGCTGTCCGCCATGATTTGCAAACTTAATGGCTCTGATATTTTAAATTTTCTACATTTCATGATTTAATACTACTTTTCAAAAGTCTAGAAAGTTACAGCCAAGTAATTAAAAATATCATACTAAGCATTATATTGGCTGAAAGTATGAACTGTAAGATACAAACAAAATGCGTGAAAACATATTTTAATGTGTTCTACCGAATATAATATTCATATTACATTAAGCCTTTATGAAAGAAAACTCATGCAGTACTTGCGAAGCACAGTCAACTTCAGAAATGATGATATACAATGGTGGGTGTGGGGAAATTTGAATACTAAAGAGAATACCTCTGGTGGGAAAGTCCTAAGTTTTCAGTCAATAAAGCTTATGAGATTCAGTGGCGATCTCATTCAAAGTTACAAAATTCTTGCACAGATCAACAGGGTATATGCAGGAAGGATGTTTCCCCTGGCTGGGAGATCTAGTATCAGGGGATCCAGTCACAGGACAAGGGGCAAAACATTTAGGATTGAGACAAACAAGAATTTCTTCAACCAATATCTTTACAATTCTCTGTCCCGGAGGCTGTGGAGACTTAGTCGTTGACCGAGATCAGATTTCAATGTATTAAAAACATCACTACACTGGGATAATGCAAAAAAATGGTGTTAAAGGAGAAGATCAGCCACAATCTCACCAAATGGGATTGAATGGCTGATTGGTTCACTCTTGTTCCCATCTCTTATGTTCCACAATGTGGGAATTCTCCCTGAAGCCAATTGGCTGGAAAGCCTTTAAAGTATAAAACTGCTTAGCTGCCTCCGCCTTGATAAAATCTTTGTGTTCCCAGGATTTGAATATCTTTGAAATAATTTTTCCTATCTTGGACTTTATTGCATGTCCTAGTCATGTCAGCAGTACAGGAACAATTTAAACAGCTCTACCTTGGCCTTCTGAATAGGAACAAGAGAAGCAGCAACACCAATAACATCTACAGCAATACAACAATAAGATTTGCCTTCTTTGTAACCTCCATAGGACAGAGGGGATGAACAAAGACTCCAGTTTAAAGTACATGAAAATTACAGCTCAGGATATATGCAGGTAGCAGATTCACTTTCTTGACTTGAAAGAAAAGCAGTGCCTAAGAAAACTTAGATTTTCATGGCAGATTGTTGCTGATATCTACTGGCTCCTCCCTCCCAGTGGTTCAGGTGGGCAGGCATTGCCAAAGACTGTGAAGGTTAACACAGGCCTGGATTTCAACACCTCTGGTTACTTCCAGAGATTTGCTGGAGACATCTGTAGG